TGTACTCTGTTCAAGCTGTTCTGGGAGGTTGTTTTTATATTTAAATTTTATGGGGTTTTTTGGTGTGTGTGTGTGTGTGCGCGCGTGTGCGTGTGTTGTTTATTTTGTTCTGTTCAGAGAAATATTTGATGCATCATTTATCTGATGTACCCTGTCTGTGCTAAAGATAAGAGAAATTAAGATCCAAGTTATACTTGTTCTATTAGTGCCACAAAATGGTATTTCTCGAACATTGTAAAATCTTGTCAATCACACCAATTTTGACTTCCTAGGTCTGGGGAGGGAGGTTGTCAGTAGATGCTGATCCTGCTGGCCCTGGACTGCACAAAGGAGCAAGGCCCAGAGAGGGCTACAGCCCATCTTCTGCTTTGGGATTTGAACGGAGCTGGCTAAGCTGGTAAGTGTGGGGGGTGTGGATTTATGGTGTCAGCTGCACAGCTGACTAACAGTGTTAAAAATGAATAAATAAATGTCTGCAGATCGTGAAAGAAGCCTCCTAATCGAAAGTATTCCAGAGCTACTGCAAGTGAGTGGAGCCACCAAATGACCAAACACAAACTTCCCTGGGTTTTATAATTCATTGCTCTCCTTACTGCTATCTGCCAACATTTTGTTAATTATTTTTGATGCACCCACTCAGTGTGTTCCACCTTCCAAAAACAGGACCATCAAATCCTCCCCTTTGATACAAAACTTAAGAAAATACACCTTAAAAAAATGTCAATGACAGTGAGGAAAATATCCAAAAATATGTTGTGAGGATCAAAAAATCAAGAATCTAATTTTACAAAATAGATTCAAGGATGCATTAGTATTTCACTCCGATTATAAAAAGACTTTTTCTTCAAAATGGGCCACTGTATGGTAGAAACTTTGACACAGTGCTTCAGCCACTCACAGCACACCCACCTCAAGGGTAGGACCAGCAGTGCTGCCCTCTCTTTGTACGTGCATTATTACATTTTTATCAGCATCCAAGGGAGAAAACCCTCCTAGAGATAACAAACAGAACTCTCAGCAAGATTATGTACAGGAGTTTAGAGGGTACAGATAAAATGTGTCTATGTATAGTGATCTGAATTCAAGGCAGAATATAAAGCATATGGCCAGCCAAATGCAGGCATCCTGTCATCCCTGCAAGTCTCTGCTCCATGAAATAATAGCTTTCTCTGACTTACACATTATATAATGAGGACATGTCTTCACTTTGCAGGGCGAGCTTTCCCTTCCTACCTCTCCTGCAATGTTGCCCAAAACATCAATCTCTCCCAGCAAATTGGAGAGCCCATAGCTGCAGCTTTAAAAAATAACACACCAATTTCCTGTTTCCCACCATCTGGTTTCCAGTGGCCCTCTTTTACAAAATGGGATCATGGCAAACACAGAGTTTATAAGTTCAATGACTGCAGTCCCAGTCCTGAATGATGACCCATGAGGTCACTGTCACTGGGGGAGATGACAACAAGGAATGGAAGACATGTATCTCCACCAAATAACATGCAAATCCAGAAGGACTGAAAATGCAAACAGTAGAGGTGGGGGGAATACACGTAAGAGAAACAATACAAGAGAATGATTCTTACCCTCCTTTGGGGAAAATAATGCCAAATTATAGTAGAAAAATGTTTAAGGCCCATAACATGTAAAGTGCTTCCACAAATCATTAAGAAAAAGGGGAAAACAACATGATATAAAAATGAGCAAGAATTCTGAAAAGATAATTCTTCTAGGGTAAAATATAAATGTCCATCAAATGTAAATGAAATGGCCAACCTTCCCAGTAATCAGGAAAATACAAATTAAAATAATTGGCATTTATATTTCCCATCAGACTGATGATAAACAGTGGGTGGTTTGATGATTGTAGAGAAAGGGACACTCCTACACATCCTAGCTAGAAGAATCTATGTTGCTAGCAATGCAATTCCTATCTGTTTGTCTCTTTCTTTCCCATGGAAAGGACTAACTATATGCATCTATGAACTACCTACAAAACAAAGAATATACCTCCATACCCCATATTTTTTCACCTCAGTAAACAAATTATAGATGTCATTGATAGTTTTATTTTCCCAGGTTATCCTAAAATCACACGCCTTACAACTGGACATGGAAACCCTGATTTTCCCTCACCCTAAAAGGACTCTTTAGGAGAAACAACAATAAAGTTAAAAGATGCATGTTTCTTTGTTGAGTCTCAGTCCAAAGGAACTGGGACAACTACCAAAAACGGCTCAGTGTCCTCCTGGGCTTATGCTCTGGAGAAAATATGATCTGTCCACCTGCTCTGCTAATTTGGGCTCAAGAACTTCAACATCAAGATAGTCTATTTTTCCCATTATTAAAAAAATCTTTTGCATGCATAGAAGCCAAACTGTCCTTTCATTACCTACAGAGCCATCCACTTAATGAAGAAAGAAAGTGTTTGTTTGGCGCACAATGAGGAAAGACAAATCACTGGAGACAAAGTTTTGCCAATGAACAGCCCTAAAGCTCTGATCCAGCAAATAGTTCCTGCCAGGAAGTCTTATTTTTAGTTAGGAAATAATTTCCTACAAGCCATGCAAGTTCTGCTTGCTCTGTATTTAAGATTTAAAGAAACGTTTTTCTTGGGGACCTGAAAATGGAAAAGAAGCTCAATGCCCTCTTGAGGCTGTAGGACCCTGAAGTGGAGACAGTAAAAGGCAGAGTGGTTTTTCATTATGGAAAACAAAATCCCCTGCTCCTTCCACTCATTGGCCTGAATTTCAAGTGTAAAGCATTTGTAGAATGAGCATCGTCAGAATAACCTACTTTGGGAAGCTAAAACGAAGTACAATACGTGGAAAAGATTTGCACCCTGCATAAATAAGTCATCTGTTCAGAGGTTCTCGCTGGCCCTGCTCCTGGCCCCTCTTTTCTCTAGAATTCCTTGGGCATTTGGGAAAATAGTCCATCCAAATTGTTCTTAGGTTTGCAATTATGACAAAAAGAATCTGACCAACAGGAAGAAACCAGCCCTGGCCAGGCCATGAAGTAACAGGGCGTCCTAGCGCTGCTACAACCAAACTCCTGAGACTGTCATTTAAATCACACAGAAATTTAGGGCTTGTGTTTCTGGAGGCTGTAAAGTCAAAGATCAGAGCTGGCATCTGGCAAGGGCCTTCTTGTTGCAGCTCCCATGGTTAAAGGGCAAAGAAAGACAAAAAGCGGGGAGTGGGACAAAGGTCACAGTAACAAACCCATGGCCACGGTTGCATCACTAACCCATTCACAAAGGTAGAGGGCTCCTGGCCTCATCACCTCTCGCAGGGCTCTGCCTCCCAAAACTGTTGTATTGAAGATTAAGTTCCCAACACATGTTTTCTGAGGGTCAGAGTCGAACCACAGCACGAAATATTGTCTCCTCTGCACCTATTCACTTTACATATTTAGCCTTTGTCTTGTTCCCAGTGTCTTGCAATTGATTGATTTGCCCAATCAGTCCTATCTTCCTGGGGTATTATCTTTTCTAACATGTGATTCACTGCTCACATTCCCTCAAAATCAGTTCTTTGGGGCTGGGCACCTGGCTGCACAGTTGGGGGTTATATTTTTCAGCCTCCTTTGCCATGAGGTGTGGTCATGTGTCGAAGTCTTGATGGTGGAAGAGAGTGGAAATGATGTTCGCCACTTCCACTCCTTGGCTATAAAATCCTTGTCTTACACTCCACCGTGCTTTCTCATTTCCCTAATATCTAGAAGAAGAACTTAACAAGGACTCAGAGCTCACAGTGAAGGTGAGGACAAAACCCTAGTGGATAGCAGAGTAACAATAAAGGAAAGATCCAAGTCTTTGAATGACATCAGAGCAGAGCTGCGTACCCTATGAGACTAACTGGACATAGGAAAAGAATAAACTTCTCTTTTCCTTAAGTCACTGTCATCGGAGGCCTTTCTGACATAGGCTGGCCTTTGTGACAACAAATACAGAAGAAGTCAATGTGTTTGACAAATTCTGCTATTTAGAATGATACTGTTCCTGGCAATAATTCCATTTGAATATGGTCTTCTGCTGTGTGGAAAAAATATTTTTCAAAGTCCAAAATAGATAATCTAATTTTATAAGCCCAAATCATTGGTGACAAACATTTAGACCTGACATTTATTTATAATAACACACAATGGAATTATTCACCTAAAACTACTAGTTGGGGCGGGGCGGGGAAGAACTAGTTTCCAATCACTGCTATTAAATAAGCTGGGGGTGTTGGTGTGATCAAATATGTGGTCTAATGGAAAGGAGGCAGGAAGATAGTGGTTCAGATTCAAGATCTCAGTCAGTAGCAGTGTGACCCAGGCCCCATTCCTGAATTTCTGAGTCTTCACATGTGTAATGCATGCAGTATGGGAATATGGCCATCCATGTAGGATGGTCTACAAGTCATTAGCCTGGGAGCTGGGGCAGAATGAGGATAACCACTCAATACTTAATTGGGAGTGATTTAATTAATGAACTACTTATATGCAGCAGCTGTAAAGAGTAGTCACTGCCACTGAATAAAATAAAACACTCATAAAATTGCTTCATCAACGATGTTGATGAAAACTCTCCTTTCTGATCCCACTCCAGACTCAGCTGACGGTCTTGATCATGTCCTATTATTCTCAGCCCCATCTGTTCTGCCCTAGGATGTTTTCTCCTGTTGAAACCCCTCATTGTTATATTTAGTAAATGCTGATTCTTCTCTTTAGGGGTGCATAATAATTAGACAGAACATTGTGGCATATTTGTACGTGCACCTAATAATCTGAGCAGTTTCAATGCTAATTCTTACATGCAATTGCTTGAAAGTTTCTCCTAAATTCTTAATTTTAAATGAGAGTGCTGCTAAGGAAGTTTGTATCCTCCATGTTTCTTGTAAAATTCAAGCGGATACTCACAGATCTGGGATTAGTTTTGCTTAGAATTTGTGGAGCATGGTAGCTCTGGGATTAGTTTTGCTTAGAATTTGTGGAGCATGGTAGCTCTACGCTGAGTCTGAATTCTGACTTTTTTTTTTTTTTTGCATTCAGTATTTGGTCTGAGTCATTCCTTAGTTGAGTGTGCAACCTGCAGGATGGTGTGAGGTGAAAACTCACCCTGATGCATGGGGACAGGCATGTCCTGGCTGTCACTCAGATCCTGTGTGCTTTCTGTTTTCCCCAGGTCCTATTCTTGAACCAATTCACATGCACAGTTGTGGGGTAGGGAGAGGCAGAGTATTTTAGGTGGGAAAAAATTTCTCTCTTAAAATTACATTATTTTTATATTAATCAATTTGAAGAGTTTTAAGGACTTTTGTGGGAAAATAGATGAAAGAACTGAGAGTAGAAGCCCCAGGTAAGTCTCTATGAATCAGCCCAAGTCCTTTAGTGGTGGTATGATCTACGATAAGCTGAACAGGTTCATTAGGTGAAAATGAGGGGACATTGGATCCGGCTCATTGGTCATGGGATCATGACTGCTTTGGTGAAGCAGTCACCTCCACAAATAAATACAGGACTTGAGAGTGACACTGAAGTGTGCCTGGCTCAGCAGAGTGAAGAAGGCCTTTCCAGACCTGATACTGGCCCGTCATCCGGAATGTTCTAGGATCCCACTCAAAGGAATAAACATATTTCTGTGAACACACAGACAGACGGGCACAAAGATGTAAAGATTTCATGTGTCTGCACCGTGGCCTGAAATCCCTTCACAATAACAGCCCTTCAGTAATTTACTAGAAAAACCACCAATTTGCTCTTATTACATAAAATGTGGAAACTACCAATTCTCTCTAATCAATGTCAAAAGAAGAGGAAAAAAGAAAGAAAGCAGTTACTCATCATTTCAAGGATGGCAGTCGAGGTATTTATCCCCATCTTCTCTTCAGAAGTCTCCACCAGGAGACAAGTAGCCTTGCCTGTGTGCCCCTTCTTAAAGCATCCCGAAGGCCAACTATTGCCCTGCTGAGCTTGGGTGAGTTTACTGGACCAAAACTATCACAGACGTGACCAACTTGAACTGCCTCTGTGAAAGGTCCCGAAGACTAGCATGGATGTGTCATGGCAAGTTCACAGCACCACACAAATCTGAAAATATCTATAAGACATTAGAAAGCATTAAAAACAATTCCTGGGGGCTGGGCTGGGGCTCAGGGGTAGCATACTTGCCTGGCATGAGGGAGGCACTGGGTTCGATTCTCTGCACCACATGCAAATAAATAAAATAAATGTCTATCAACAACTAAAAAAGAGAACAATTCCTGTAAATTTCTTTAAAATGTTCATAGTGAGTCTTTACAAAATGGAGACACAGTTTCAACTGTAAGGGAGCATGTGTTCCCATCCATGTTTGTATGGTGAGTGCTTAGCACGGTGCCTAGCATACAGGAAATGAAGGAATAAGTTAATTAGATAAGCAATGGCATCTTAGGAAAAAAGTATACATCACCTCTAACTCCTACTACCATTAATATGTTGGTCTAATTTCATCTAGCTTTTTGATTCCTATAGGTTCTTTATGAAAAATGATTTTATAATGTGATAATAATAGCATTGACGGTACACATACTATCCACCAGACTAAATGAGTATTTGATGGCATTGTCTCATTTGGTAAGCATATATGAAGGGCTTCTCTATTCCATTCCAGAAAGTCAACATGGAAGTAGTATAATGTTTGTGGGAGACTGTGTTCACATCGTGGGAAATATCATCCTCAAAACCAAATATGAGAATTGAGATATGTATTTAAAATGCCCTTTGATGTCTAAAATTTGAATTATTGCTCAATATTTAGGGACAAACCCATGTGTGAGACAGATCCATTTCATCTCATTTAAAAATATAGGAAGGGAAACACTAATTTAGCTTACAATCAATTAAAACTATATGCTTTCATTTTCCCTACATACCAATTGAAAAACTTTACCTTCAATTTTTTAAACATTACAGCTATTTGGTTTTATTCCTTTCTTTTAAAAACAGATTTGTGATAGGTGAATATTATCATTTTCCTTTGTCTTAGAAGAGAAGTGAAGCACAGAAATGCAGGCACTTACCCAAAATACCTGCCAAGCTAAGGAGAGATTTATTCCCAGAATTCATCTCTCTTTAATCTCAAAAAAGTTTAATAATGATCATAATGAATATGCAAATCCATGGAGCAAATGATCATTCAGAGTAAAGTTACTATACTTCCTTAGCAGTCATGATAATGTTGTTAAAATCTGCAAATTGCTAATTAGCCCTCAAGTGTTGAATACACAAAGCAAAGCAAACAATGCTACACTTTTAGCATCTATGCCAACTTTTAAAATCAAGGTGATCTCATTTGAAAGCACAATGGCCAACAGGTATGTCCACACACATGTGAAGTCCTTTAAAGAATTGGAATCAGGACTTCCAGAAGAGGCAGAATTAGTTTTGATATGGAGAAACACGAATCCTCATGATCCACCGAGGACACTGAGTTGGTAAGATAACTTCTGACTGCTGTATCATGTTCCAGACAGTCAACATCAAAGCAGTATAATGTTTGTGGAACACTGTGTTCACACTGTAGAAAATACGAAGATGGAAAGACGGTCCTTCTTTCAGACAATGAGAAATTATTAATGTGTACTTCTTCATCAACTAAAACAAAATGAGGAAACAGATAAATGAGGAAGTGCTGCAGGCATGCATTATGCAGAAGTTCCAAATATAAATTTCTTCTTTGAGATAGTCAAGACTCCAAAAAGAGGAGAGGAGTGAGAAATACACCTAATGTGCTCAGTATAAAAATGTGCAGGCCCGTCTGACTAAAGCACAGTGTGTGTGTGAACATGTAAACGGAGGACAGCCGGGGAGAGGAAGGTCAGGCCCAGATTACTGAGATTACTAAATTGTCAGGAAATTGTGAGCTATTCACCTTGAACCAGTCACTGATAGAATGGAAGCTGTATTTTAGGATGACTGCAGGTGAAATACGCAAAACATTTTGCATATGGAAAGAAAAGCTGGAGGCAGAGAAAAAAGCACAGATCAGTCTTTCATGATAGAAGAAACCACTTAAGAATTCAGGGAGTAGAAAGACAGGGGGAAGGCCCGGAAAGGAAAGAACCCTTGAGACTTGATGCCAGGGCACATACAAAGCAAAGGTGCAGGAGGAGTACGGATCCCAGAATTTCAGGCCTCAGTGGTCAAGAGAGGAAGAGTGTCATTGATGGATGAAGGGAGCCCAGGAAGGAATGTTCTGGAAAGGAACAATTCACTCTGAGTTCTGTGGAATTCTGGGTATGCTGCTTATCTAGTGGAAGTGCATGAGGTTCCTTGGAGATGTGTGAATGGAAGCCAGAACAGTGAGGCTAGAAGATGAAGATGGAGGAACGCCTGTTACAATGAGTGGGAATTCCAGGAATGGTAGAAAGACTGACAAAGGGCTGGGGGTTTCTCCTTACTTGAGAACAAAGAAAAGGAGAGACAGTTGAAGAGAACCGGTAGTCCTCAGATAAATAAGTGAGAAAGTGGTCCTCCATATTGTCCAGTTCCTAAGCAGAATTAGGAAGAGAATGATTCTGGAAATCGCTCAGACATCTCCTGAACTACATGCTGAAATTAAAAGACACAAAAAGGACTTTTTCAGAGTTAGAGAACAGTAGTTCCTTTAGTCTCTTCATGAGAAACCTCTTGTGGTTCTAGAACCGACTACTGTGGGCTGGTAGACAAGCTGGCCATCTTCTTTGAGGGCCGACCCACAGTGGCTGGAACTTCCATGGGATATACTCTTGAGAATTCCTCCCTGGACATGGTCTGAGGCATGCAGGACAGAAAGCAGACCTGGTCCTTTCCACATGAGCCACCTGACAGATGTAGAATCCTCTGCTGAGTGAGGTAGAAAGAGTGGTGCCGGCCCACGGTTTGGGAGAACACTCCCAGGTATGCAGAAACCTGTGTCCCCCTCCATGGGTACAGGAGGAACCCTTTGAAAATACCCCCAGGAGAGAAAATATGAGCTTTGACATTGGTCAAGATGAGAGAAAGCAACAGAGAGAGATCACCCCTGTCTCGCCAATCCTCCTACCTGACACCAAGTCCTGTCAGGGAACTCAAAGTCAAGGGGCAAACAAGAAGAGAACCATTCCCTGGAACACAGGCTTCCAGCCTGAGCCACCCTTGACCTGGGAGAAGTCCAAGATTTTTTGCAAATCTTATGTAGCTTTTTTTTTTTTTTTTTTTTTTTAGCAAGAGGAGTGTTATCATCTGAGAGTGATCAAATACCATGGCCCCACCCAAGTCTCCACCCAAGGAAAAGAATATCACCCCACTAAATATGTAAAGGGCCCAGGCAGGCACAGTGGAGTTGAGTCTTGATCAGGAATTTATACACAAATATGACCGATGGGCACTGTGCATTCCTCCCCTGGAGATCCACAATGCATGTTAACACTTTAAGTTCCCTGGGTGTCCTGCAACAGAGAAGCCTGTTTACTCTGCTAATCCTCCCATTTCCCAAATATTTATGTGAGGAATTTTTTTTTTTCAGAGAACACTAATTAACATCCTAATAACCTAACCTTTCATTGCACAGATATTGAAAAGCATTGTTCTAGACATTTGGTGTATTGCAAAATCTCTGTCTTCCCAAATATATTTTGGAATACTTAACTGTTTAATAACCACAGTAAATACCTTTTCAAAATTCATTCAAAGCACCCTAGGGATGGGTAACAAACCAATAGCCCTAGTGCTTCAGGGAAGGTCAGATGCCCAGCGCTTTGCATAATTCTTTCTAGATCCTTCTTCCTGCATTCTCCAAATAATATTGCCAAATATGTCCTTCCACCAAGCCTCATTTAATCCCTGAATAATGCTCCCTTTATTGGCAAAAGTGCTTCATTATTTAAATGTCATTGATAAATTTGAAATGAAATTAACTAACCCACAAAAGTCATTTTCTTTGTTTCTCTGCATCTCAGTCTGTGCAGGCTATGACCCACAAATAAATAAAATTAATTAAGTCAACATAATGTTATACCAGCCCCGTCACAACCCATTACAGACCCCAGACACCTGAATATCGCTGGGGCTAATCCAATCTGTCTGGACCATATTAGGAGAGAAGAGAGCCAGGAAAGGGCCTCCGCGCAGTTTGCAGCCTAATAGGAAAGATAAGCCACATGCCAAATGTAGGTTGCCCTGAGAGGAGCGAAGGCTTAGCAGGCAGTTCCTTTCATGACTGAGGTCACCAAAGTAAGTCCAGCCCCATGAGAGTAGAAGACACCACCCTAGATTCAAGGGGAAGAAATAGCATTTGGGTTCTGATTTCACCACTGAGTACTCATAACTGTGCTCACCTTAACAATTAACAGGAATGATGACAAGGGTCCTTGCCTCAGAGGGTGAGGATTCCTTAAAACAATGGGGGTGAAAACTTTTTAAGCCAAACAAGTAAATCAGCTTTAAGTCACATGTAAGCCTCTTAAATCTGGAAAGCATACAATTATGGAAAAAAATCTCCATCCCATTGAGATGGTTTTCTGCCCTGCCCCAGCACCCCACATGGAAGTGCATAAGATGCAGATTCTCTGCCCTGACTTTGTGTTGCTTTGACACAGTGTCAGTCAGATGAGGGCAGGACTGCAAACCACAGCACCACTAACGCCCCCAACGAGCAACAGGGGTCTACACCCTCCACCGTAGAGGATGCGGATGCCATGTTGGGGATGGGGGATTTATTCTGCATTATTTGGAGAAAATGCAGATCAAGTTAATGACTCCAAACCTCCAAAAATACACCTTGGAAAGCGGCCTTCATAATCTGGTGAATACTTTTGTTACTCACATGGTAAGTGCCCTTGGCAAGAACCTGCAGTGCAGGGTAGCAAGATGCATTCTAAAAGTGCCCGAAATGCTGAAGGGAGGCAAGTCAGCCTCAGGGCAGCGGAAGTGTCTCCTGGATCTCTAGGTCAGTCCTGAGGTCACGGCTGGACCTATGTTATCGATTGTTCCTAGTGGCTGAACCGGGATCTCCGAGCTGGGTTTATGAGAACCTCCTGGAGAGATCAAGAACCGTGTCATCCTAAATAGCCCCAGGCCAGAAGCAATTTTCTATGGAAGACTTCTAAGAATTCTGATGGCCAAAGCTCCAGAAGACCTCTGTTGGAGGACATGAGGAAGGGACTCCTGACATTTGTGACAGCTTTGGCACAGCTCAGGGTTCTCAAAGCAGCACTACTGACAGTTTGGGGGGAGAGAGGATTCTCTTCAGTGGGGCGTCGTCCTAGGTGTGGGGGGAGGTTTAGCATCATCTGTCCTTACCACTAGATGCCAGCAGCACCAGCCTCCAACCAGGACACCTCCACCCGTGCCGGATGCCCCTGGGAAACGGAATGGCTGCCACTTGAAGACCCAAGGTGCAGCTACCTCCTGGAGAGGTCCCAGCAGGGACTGCAGGCCGCGGCCTCCTGCAGCCAACTGGCTTTATGTCTTAACTAAGTCTTAATAGGCCCTTTCAGAAAAATAGCTAAATTAAACTTCCAAGTCACTGATCATTTAAGATGGTTCCATTTAAATTTACCCTGATGATTGTATTTGGAACCAGAGGTCAAAGTATAAACACATTTTATCCTGGTCACTTTTCTCAGTGTTTTTTCTATTAATCAAAACTGAATCATTTGATTTTTATCAAACAGAAATGTAGTATAGGTCACCTTCGAATTTCCTTTTTTATCTATACCTTCCTGAAATAGCGAATGATTCTCCTATAATGTATAGCTCCTATTTATTCTGATTGAATCTGAGCAAAATTTGATCTTAAACTGAATGGGTAAACAGGATCAAGAGCAAATCCAAATACCCAGTCGTCTTCCAGTATCAACCAAGCTACCTTCAATCAACTCAGAGAGAGAGACACACACACAGAGACAAAGAGAGAAGGGAACCAAAGCAGGGTTGAAGGGAAAGCAACCCACTTAAGGAAATAAATTAGACTTATAAAATAGGAAAGAAAACAGACTGTCAGGAACAATCAGTTGTCTTACTAACCCATAGGCAGAGACACAGAAAAGTCGTGCAATGGAAAATTTACCCTTCTTTGCAAATGAGGGAAAGATTAAAAATAATAATAATAATGTAATTCTCTGTGTACGTTGTAAGTAATTATCACATCAAGGAATTCTGTTTCTGGAGGGCGATTTGATAAGGAACCTGACCTTTCTCCAGCTTCTGAAACTTCTTCTGGGAGACCAGCAGCTACTGCCAGCTGATGTGGTACGTGTCTACTTGAGTTAAGACCACATGTCTAGTAGAAGAAAAATAACACTCGTGCCACATGATGTCTAAAGGGCTAATCTTGGGATAGAGGAGGATCTCCTGGGACTGCGACCTTGGTACTTCACGGGATGCTTCCTTGAAACCTTCCCTTGTCAGGAAACTTTTATAAGGCATGCTTGATGGTGGACCGATTCTGGTAGAGAAAAGTAGGTTTGAGCAATTAGAAATGTTAAAAATATATCATCATGGATTAGAAAGGTACTAAAGACCAATCACTCCAATACCACCTGCTAAGAGGTTGGGCACAAAGACAGTGCAGTATTTTCATTTGAAAACATGAAGGGACTCTTATGAGTTAAAGGGAAAGAGGAAGACCTCTAAGAGTTGAGTTCACACGCAGTCAAGAACTCTTTCAAGGGTTGGTAACAGAGAAGACAAACCGGAAGTGCCAAGCAACTTGTCAAAACTTTTAGGAATGTTCCCAAACTTCTCTTGGGAACTACAGAGTGAGATGCTCTAAAGAGTTAACACATCCTCTGGAATCTCCTACATCTTAAGCAGAGCTTAGTCCTTTGAAGGAGCTGTCCTAAATTATTACATAACCCTCAGCAATTACTCATCATGCTAGAGCATAAAGGAAGCTTAAAAAATGGGTGACATTGTTTGATTTAAAATTAAGAGTTGATGCTGATAATACAGTAAAATTAGCCTATGTAGAACATGTTTGGACTTTAAGTTATGTGTTATGCAATATCAGGCTTACAAAATAAATCTAGAACAAGAGGACAAGAATTGGAAATTGTTTGAAAAAACAAATAGTACTTTTAGTCAATTAAATAACATCTGCTTGCCTTTACTTTTGAAATGAGATTAACACATCTATCTGAATTTGGTGATTTGTTTTGAACTTCATCTGGTATATAAGGAAAATGAAGAATTGACTTACATAATATTTGGCTTCATAAAGGCAGTAGGACTGCTGTAAAATATAGTGCCAGAGGGATTAAAATTGACATTTTTTCTCATGATGATCATCAAAGTAAATGCTGGTAGATACCAAATTTTATCTTTTTTAAAATTGCCATCATTACATCCCAGAATAAGCCTTCATAACAGCAGCATTTTCCAGAAGTGAATTCTCTGTCTTACTTATGATTTTAATGTTCCATGTTTTCTTTTTTTTCTTTGTGTGTGCATTTCCAGTCAAAACAGTTCCCAACCATCTATCTTCTGACAATGTGCATTTTATCCCATCGTTCCCATTTGATTTCACTGAGCCACAGGAAAAGGTAGAGTTTCAGATAAGAACTCATGGATTTTTACAAGACTGCAACTGCAGTGTTTCTCAGAAAGTCCCCTCTCATTTCAAAGAAAAGAATCTTCTCACTCCATTTCTTCATCTTCAAGCCGAGTTGACTTATGTCCTTCCCTGCCACAGCTCCTCAGCCAGTTACACCTTCAGCTGGGGATACAGCCAAAGACCCAGCCTGGACAATGGGCTTGCCCCTTTCTCCTGCACCCCCCAGGTGAGGTGAGGAGGTGGGCAGTGGATGCTGCTTGGCTTCTTCCCTTCCTTTTCTCCTGCTCCTCTCAGCCCAGTGATCCCACCTTAGCTCCCTTGTAAGACATCCCTGGGTACTTGCCTGCCTGCTTGAGTATTGTTCTCCAAACCCCTTCTGTAGACGCCAGAAAGAATATGCTCCCAGTGGCATAAGAGCAGGTGGCAGCAAATTGATGACACCCCATGTACCCCAAGCCTGAGTTCTCTAGAATGACAGCTGTCTAAGTGAATTATTTATTCCACCTATTTTGTGCTATAATGTCAGATAACGTTATGGTATGAATCTAGAAGATCCCCCAAAAGCTCATCTGTTGAGGGCTTGATCCTCAATGCAGCAACATCCAGAGGTGGGAGTTTGGGGAAGTGAGTAGATCCTGAGGGCTCTGACCTC